TTAAATATTTTTCAATAAAAAGAATGAAGTTAAGTGGATTAAGCTTCTGACTCAAAAAGTTGTAAAAGATAAGCTGAAGGAAAATAGCTCAAAGGAATTAATACAGATACTGTATATGCAGAAATTGACATAGAAAAACTGTAAAATAATGTAACTAATAAATCAGCAAAAGCTCAGATGATATTGATACTCTTCTAGAAAACAATGATTCACTAAAACTAATTTCAGAAGATATAAAAAATCTGACATAAATTTCTTATAGAAATACATACAGAAAAGATCTACCTTGCCCAAAATCACTAGTAACAGAAAATTTCACAGAGAAACTGTGTGAAACTTTTAAAGATCAGATATTTCTAAATCCATTCAGGTATTGAGAACAAAAAATTCCAAGTTTTAAAGTAAGCATACATTGACAGAAAGTCTGACAAACTGCATAATGAAAAACAATGTAGACGAAACTTGTTTAATTCAAATATTAGCTAAGAGAAACAAACTAAACTAAAAGAAGAAGATACAATGGCTAAGTGAGGTTTATTACAGCAAAGCGATGACGGCTTGAATGAGGAAATATTGTAATAATACTTATGCTATTAACAAATCCAAGAAGAAAAGTTATACGATTATTTTCATAGATGCTGACAGGCGTTTGACAAAATTCAGTAATCAGTCTTGTTTTAAACACACACTGATGTAGGAATCGACGAGTACTTTCTTCAACTGAAAACATTTTCTCTATTTATTTCCTTAGCTATTTTAGCCCTGTGAAAGTTGTCAGAATTAGAATTGATCCATGACAGTCCAACTCTAGCAAAAAAATAAATCTGGGAGGCTCAGATGAGAGGAGCCCTCAAGCATCCAGGCCTGTGAGAAGAGCCATTACAAAGACTCTTACTCACATCGCCCGTAACAAAACCTTTTGCTAAGGTCTCTTCAAAACTGCATCTTGCCACGTGAGTCACAAGAACAGCCAGCCTGATGGACAAGAACACCAGCCTGAACCTCGCCCTGATAAACCAACACGAACTTCTGCCAAAAGCCCCTGTACCCACGCTTTCTTTCTTTTCTTTCTTTTTCCTTCCTTCCTTTCTTTCCGTATTCTATAAAGTGCTTTTTCTTAAATTAACTTTTTATCGAAACATTGATTGTACATATTTATGGGGTACAGATATATTTCCATACATGTACACATTGTGTGACAATCGAATCAGGGTCATTAGTATATTCATCATTGCAAAACTTAATCCTTT